ATCTGGGTCCTGTTTGTGGGACCAGTCATCTGGGTCCTCGTTTTGGGACCACTCATATAGGTTGATTTTGTGGGACCAATCATCTGGGTCCTTGTTTTGAGACCAGTCTTATGGGACCTGGTTGTGGGACTAGTTATCAGGGTCTTAGCTATGGGAGCAGTCATCTGGAACCTGGTTGTGCGTCCAGTCATCTGGGACATGGTTTGTGTGACCAGTCATCTAGGAAACGGTTGTTGGATCAGTATTCTGGGACATGGCTGTGAGGGCAGCCATCTGGGTCCTGGATGTGGAATAAGTTATCTGGGTCCTGATTGTGGGACCAGTCATCTGGGTTCAAGTTGTGGGACCAGTCATCTGGTTCCTGGGAACTGGATCATTCATCTTGGACCTGTTTGTACTACCAGTCTTCTGGGACATGGTTGTGGGACCATTCATCTGGGTCGTGGTTGTTCTACAAGTCTTCTAGGACATAGTTGTGGGACCAGTTATGTGGTTTCTGGTTGTGGAACCAGTCATCTGGGATCTGGTTGTGGGAACAGTCGTCTGAGTCCTAGTTGTGAGAACAGTCATCTGAGTCCTGGTTGTGGGACCAGTCATTTGGTACCTGTTTGGTGGTCCAGTCATCTATTTCCTTGTTGTGGGACTAGTCATCTACGACCTGGTTGTGGGACCAGTCATCTTTGTCATAGTTGTGGGGACCAGTCTTCCGGGTCTTGGTTGTGAGCGCAGTCATCTGGGACCTGGTTGTGAGACCTGTCATCTGTGTTCTGGTTGTCTGATCATTCATCTGGGACCTGTTTGTGCGACTGGCCATCTGGGTCCTGCTTGTCTAACCATTCATCTGGGACCTATTTGTGCGACTGGTCATCTAGGTCCTGCTTGTCTAACCATTCTTCTGGGACCTGTTTGTGCGACTGGTCATCTGGGTCCTGGTTGTCTGTCCAGTCATCTGGGACCTGGTTGTTGGACCAGTGATGTGTGACCTGGTAGGTAAAAAGACACAAGTGCAACTAATGTTACATTTTATCGTGGCAACATTTCGCTCTCCAGGATCTTTATCAAGCTGTTACAAACAATACATGTACCCAAAGGGTATATGTAGGCTTAGAGTGAGGTGTAATACTAGTTAGTGAAAGTAGTAGTAGTAATATTAGTTGTATCAGTAGTAATGCAATATGGTAGAATAATCAACTTGCACCTGTGTAAAATCTTATAAAAGCTATTACTTGGGTAGCATAGAAATAGGTAGACAAATATTTCTGTTAGTGGTTGGATCTGAGAAGGTGTGTTCCAGTGTTCCTCTTCCGTTATATACTTGTGTAGTATTAACAGCAGAGACTATGTGATGACAGGGTTATTTGATTTGAGGAGGATTTTTGCTAATACTTCAGTGATGACGAAGCTGCCTTTTTCTTGGCTTGATTGTGTCAGAAACAGCGATGAATGATGATTCAAGGCTCAAGAAATCGTAATGACACGATTGCAAACAAACCATACCCCCGGCCGGGATTGAACCCGCGGTCATAGAGTCTCAAAACTCCAGCCAGTCGCGTTAGCCACTAGACCAGCTAGCCACAATAAGATTCATCCAACTAGGTATATTTCTACACCATAGAAAGGTTAGCACAGGCACCTCTGTGACCACAAATGCAAGTTTTTACAGACGAATCTCCAGCTAGCGTGGCCGTGACGAACTCTAGCTCAAGTCCCTTCACTGCCGTCAACATGGTTTGTTTGCAATCGTGTCATTACGATTTCTTGAGTCATGTTGACGGCAGTAAAGGGACTTGAGCTAGAGTTCGTCACGGCCACGCTAGCTGGAGATTCGTCTGTAAAAACTTGCATTTGTGGTCACAGAGGTGCCTGTGCTAACCTTTCTATGGTGTAGAAATATACCTAGTTGGATGAATCTTATTGTGGCTAGCTGGTCTAGTGGCTAACGCGACGGGCTGGAGTTTTGAGACTCTATGACCGCGGGTTCAATCCCGGCCGGGGGTATGGTATGATTCAAGGCATTTACGTCTGCGGAAATTAGATTTTCTGATCACTAGTCGGGGGTCGTTGAACTTCATGAGGTGACTGGTAGAATTCCGGTGTTGTACACAGGCGTTGTACAAGTTATTGTTCCTATATGTGTCCATGTGTTGATTGAGACGCGTTTTGAGGTTCTTCGCTGTTTCACCTATATGTATTCTGTCGCGGTCTCCTCAAGGTATGAGGTAAACTCATTTATTGACTAGTTCGCGGTGGTTCAATTTTGCCCTGCTCCCTTATGGAAGTGCTGGATGCGATGGCGACTTTAGTGTTAGTTTGTGCGACTACCTTGGAAACGTTCAGTGCAACCTGGCTGTTGGGAAGAATTATAACTTTGTTGGGAGTGGTGTTGGTGCGTGGAGAATTGATGATCTTGCAGTCTTTGATGAAAAATTAAGGAAAATGTAGTTCAGTGAAGGCTTGGTGAATGTATGTACATTCCTCGTGAAGAAACTCAGGACTTCAAATTCGGTATTATGCTCTTAGGAAAAATACGATGATGATGCCTCTTTAAGTCTTAGTATCTTGACTGGAATAGAAGTGCGTGAGATGATTTTTTAGATGGCTATCAACTTTGTAAATGAGGACGCCCAGAAGAGATAGCTTGTCATTGGACTCTTCTTGTGTAAATTGATTTCGCACATGAAAACGTTTGGGAGTTATTATGAGGACGTCGTCCACATAACATAACTAAGTGACGCTGGTGGGGATGATGTTGGTGAAGTGTTCAGCTTCCAGATGTTCCATATACAAGTTGGCTAAGACGGCGCTGATGGGGGACTTCATTCCAATACCATAGGTTTGTTTGTAGAGCTTGTTATTGAAAGAAAAGCAATTGAAATTAATGCACCGTGAAAGTGTTTTCTTTTCATAGGTCAGTCTACACCAGTGAGAGACTGCCCTGGTATTACTACAATGACACTGTGTGTGGCCAGTCTACACCAGTGAGAGACTGCCCTGGTATTACTACAATGACACTTGTGTGGACCAGTCTACACCAGTGAGAGACTGCCCTGGTATTACTACAATGACACTGTGTGTGGCCAGTCTACACCAGTGAGAGACTGCCCTGGTATTACTACAATGACACAGTGTGTGGCCAGTCTACACCACTGAGAGACTCTGCTCTGGTATTACTACAATGACACTTTGTGTGGCCAGTCTACACCAGTGAGAGACTGCCCTGGTATTACTACAATGACACTTTGTGTGGTTAGTCTACACCAGTGAGAGACTGCCCTGGTGTTGTTACAATGACACTTTGTGTGGTCAGTCTACACCAGTGAAAGACTGCCCTGGTGTTGTTACAATGACACTTTGTGTGGTCAGTCTACACCAGTGAGAGACTACCCTGGTGTTGTTACAATGACACTTACTTTGCGTGGTCAGTTCACACCAGTGAGAGACTGCCCTGGTGTTGTTACAATGACACTTTGTGTGGTCAGTTTACACCAGTGAGAGACTGCCCTGGTGTTGTTACAATGACACTTTGTGTGGTCAGTTTACACCAGTGAGAGACTGCCCTGGTGTTGTTACAATGACACTTTGTGTTGTCAGTTTACACCAGTGAGAGACTGCCCTGGTGTTGCTACAATAACACTCACACCGTGTGGTCAGTCAACACCAGTCAGAGACTGCTCTGGTGTTACTACAATGACACTCACTTTGTGAGTTTAGTCTACACCAGTGAGAGACTGGCCTGGTGTTGCTACAATGACACTCACTTGATACATTCATTGTAAACACTTAATAAAATATACATAATGAAAATCATCATTTCCATCGAAATTAATTGCCGCATTACAGTCGATAATGACTTGATACATTATATATGACAATGATATGATACATTACACACAATGATGATCTGAAATATTACACATTGTAGGTCTTTTAGAAGTATAATGTGTCAGATCTTTTTGCTGTATAATGCGTTGTTCATTACACAGCAAATGCTTTATACAGCAAAAAGATCTGATGCATTATACTTCTAAAAGACCTGAAACATTATACAGCAAAATAACATGAAACATTATACTTCTAAATGACCTGAAACCTTATACATCTAAAATGACCTGAACATTAAACATCAAAATGACCTGAAACATTATTCATCAAAATGACCCAAAGCATTACATATCAATATGACCTAAAGCATTATACATCAATACGACCTGGAGCTTTATACATCAATACTGCCTGATGTCAGCATAGTTGCTGATCCCCTGTATATGTATAGCTTATCTGAGTATTATAGTTAGTATCATCCATACGTTTTACATACACGACCCCTTTGCTAGGCCTAGTGACTAGTTTGTGTGAGGTCACGTGATGCCGTGGTGAGCCTTTCGTGCCTGGGATCCCGCTCAGTTTCCGTTAGATCGACGAAGCAGCTACAGGCAGGATGGGCCTTCTCCCCCTTCATACTCTGCTAATATATGTGTTACCATCCAACAAGTGCTTAACTCCAACCATCATATCTCCTATGAACCCCCACAACACTGAAATATTGTACATCAATATGACCTGAAGCATTATACATCAATATGACCTGAAGCATTATTCATCAATATAACATAAAGCATTATACACCAATATGACCTGAAATATTATGCATTATACATCAGTATGACCTGAAGCATTATATATCAAAATAGCCTGAACATTATATATCAAAATGTCTTGAAACATTATACATCAATAAGACGTGAACCATATTGAGCATGTTGATACATCTAAATAACCTGAAGCATTATATATCAAAATGACCTGAATCATTATACATCAAGATGATTTGAATCATTATACATCAAAATGACCTGAAACATTATACATCAGATTGATCTGATTTATTATGCACAATAAGAACTTACATTATACATTATAATTTTCTGATACATTAAAAAATATAATCATATTGTTCAGTTTAAATATTCAGTGTTGTTGATAAAGAATAATTACGACAGGTACAGAGTGACACTGGGAGGCTACAGCAGCACTAGCACCCTGGGTGACGCACTCACCAGTCAACACACCTGGGCGCTGATGGACGGTATGAGCTTCACCACTGTGGACCGTGATCACGACACTTGGTCAGATGGTAAATGTTCACGTGCTTACTACAGAGTTACTTGTACTTACTGTGACCTTCACTATGTACAATTATCTCTGTGTGTCTTCGTATATATAACAATAATAATAATAATAATAATAATTATTATTATTGTTATTATTTACAATATTTTTATTATTACTGTTTTTATTGTTGCTTTTATTATTAATATTATTATTATTAGCATTAGTAATTTTATAAAAATTATATTATAATAATAATAATTTAAATAATAAGTTACAATAATAATAATAATAATAATAATAATAATAATAATAATAATAATAATAATAATAATAATTTTATTAAAAATCATAATAATAAAAAATCATTAAAATTATGATTGTAAAAATAATACTAATGATAATAATAGTTTCAGTAATTATGGTTGTAATAATAATAATAATAATAATAATAATAATAATAATAATAATAATAATATTATATTATTATTATTATTATTATTATTATTATTATTATTATTATAATTAATTTAAATAACAATAATAATAATAATAATAATAATAATAATAATAATAATAATAATAATAATAATAATAATGATAATAATAATAATAATAATAATAATAATAATAATAATAATAATAATAATAATAATAATTAATAACTATAATAATAAAAACTATAGTAAAAATAATAATAACAATGAGGTCAGGTGTAAACAATAAACGCGTCGGCGAGGCCTCAGTCGTTTTTGTGAATTATCGCTGTTTTTTGTGTGTATGTGTGTGTGTGTGTGTACTCACCTATTTGTGGTTGCAGGGGTCGAGTCTTAGCTCCTGGCCCCGCCTCTTCACCAGTTGCTACTGGGCCCTCTCTCTCCTCGCTCCATGAGCTTTATCAAACCTCGTCTTAAAACTGTGTATGGTTCCTGCCTCCACTACGTCATTTTCTAGGCTATTCCACTGCCTTACAACTCTATGACTGAAGAAATACTTCCTAATATCTCTCTGACTCATTTGTGTCTTCAACTTCCAATTGTGGCCTCTTGTTTCTGTGTCCCCTCCCTGGAACATCCTGTCTTTGTCCACCTTGTCTATTCCACGCAGTATTTTATATGTCGTTATCATGTCTCCCCTGACCCTCCTGTCCTCCAGTGTCGTCAGGCCGATTTCCCTTAATCTTTCTTCATAGGACATTCCCCTTAGCTCTGGAACTAACCTTTTCGCAAACCTTTGTACTTTCTCTAGTTTCTTGACGTGCTTTATCAAGTGCGGGTTCCAAACAGGAGCTGCATACTCCAGTATGGGCCTGACATACACGGTGTACAGTGTCTTGAACGATTCCTGTATGGGCCTGACATACACGGTGTACAGTGTCTTGAACGATTCCTTACTAAGGTGTGTGTGTGTGTGTGTGTGTGTGTGTGTGTGTGTGTGTGTTTTTTTTTGTGTGTGTGTGTATGTTTGCGTGTGTGTGTGTTTTTGTGTGTGTGTGTGTTTGTGTGTGTGTGTGAGTACTCACCTAGTTGAGGTTGCAGGGGTCAAGTCCGAGCTCCTGGCCCCTCCTCTTCACTGATCGCTACTAGGTCACTCTCCCTGAACCGTGAGCTTTATCATACCTCTGCTTAAAGCTATGTATGGATCCTGCCTCCACTACATCGCTTCCCAAATTATTCCACTTACTGACTACTCTGTGGCTGAAGAAATACTTCCAAAACATCCCTTGACTCATCGGGTTCTTCAACCCCAAACTGTCTCCCCTTGTTCGTGTCCAATCTCTGGAACTCCTGTCTTTGTCCCCTTGTCAATTCCTTCAGTATTTTTTGTTGTTTTTTATCAGTCCTCCCATCTCTCCTGTCCCCCAGTGTCGTCAGGTTGTTTCCTTTAACCTCTCCTCGTAGGACAACTCTTAGCTGGGGACTTCTGTTGAAAACCTTTGCCTTTTTAGTTTTTTACGTGCTTGAAGGTGTGGGTTCCAAACGGGGCCCTACCCCAATTGGGGGCCTAACGTACACGGTGTACAGGGCCCTGAACTTTCCCCCTTATTAAGGTCGGAATGTGTTCTGGGGTTTGCTAGGCGCCCATACTGCAGCTTTTATTTGGTTGATGTGCGCTTCGGAGATGTGCCTGGTTTTAAAAACCCCACCCAAGTTTTTTTCCTTTGAGGAGGTTTGTAGTCTCGGGCCCCCCCAGATGTACTCTTCTGGGGTCTTCTTTTGCCTTCCCCAATTTTCATGACTTTGCACTTGGTGGGTTGAACTCAGGACCCAATTGCTGGCCCGGGTCTGCCCCTGCCCAATCCCTTTGTAGTTCTCCCTGGTCTTCGATCGAGTGAATTCTTCTCATCAACTTCACGCCATCTGCAAACAGGGACACCTCAGAGTCTATTCCTTCCGCATGTCGTTCAAAATACCAAAAACAGACGGGCCCTAGGACTAAAACCCTGGGGGGACCCCGCGGGTCACAGGTCCCCCACTCTGAACCTCGCCCCCGTACCCCGACTCGTGCTGTCTTCCTGACAAATATTTTCCCGATCCATTGTAGTGCCTTTCCCTGTTATCCCCCGCTTGGGCCTCCCGTTTTTGCACCAATCTCTTGTGGGAAGTGTCAAAACGCCTTCTTCAGTCCAAAATATGCAATCCACCCACCCCTCCTCTCTTGTCTTACTGCTGTAAAACCATGCATAGAAATCCCCGAGGTTTGGAAAAAGGATTTCTGTCCCCAAAAACCCTGTTGGTGCTGTTAGAGATCATTCCTTTCAGGGTTCCCCATCTTTCCTATAATCTTCTCCTAATTTTGATACTTTTACTTGTCGTGACACTGGGCGTAGTTTAGTGCTTCATGTCGTCTCCTTTTTTTAAAGATTGGGGCTACATTTTTCTGTCTTCCCGCCCCGGCAATCTCCCTGTTTTGATAGATGTATTTAATATTGTTGTTAGGGGTACACATAGCCCTCTGTCCCTCTTCAAAACCCCTGGGGAGATGTTATCTGGGCCCCTTGCCTTTGAGGTTCTGCTCACTCGAAGCTCTTCATTCTTCCTCGATTTGTGCACTGTGTCCGCACATAGTGGGTGCCCCCCTCTCCGTCTTTCTGGAGCCCCTTTTGTGTTGTGTGTGTGTGGTTTTTGGTGTGTGTGTGTTGTGTGTGTGTGGTGTGTTGGTGTGTGTTTGTGTGGTGTGTGTTGTGTGTGTGTGTGGTGTGTGTGGTTGTGGTGTTTGGTTTTTGTTTGTGTGTTTGTGTGGTGTGTGTGTTTTTGGGGTGTGTGTGTGTTTGTGTGTGTTTGTGTGTGTTGTATGTGTGTTGTGTGTGGTGTGTGTATGTTGTGTGTGTGTGCGTGTGTGTGTTGTAGTGTGTGTATGTGTGTGGTGTGTTGTATGTGTTGTGTGTGTATTTGTGTGTGTGTTGGGGTGTGTGTGTGTGTGTGTGTGTTTTTACTCCCTATTTGTCCCACCTATTTGTGGTTGCAGGGGTCGAGTCCTACCCCGGGCCCCCGCCTTTCCCCGGTTGCTACTAGGCCCTCTCTCTCCCCGCTCCATGAGTTTTATCAAACCTCGTTTTAAAACTGTGTAGGGTTTTCCTGCCCCCACTACGCTTTTTTCTTGGCTTTTCCCACTGCCTTCAACTCTAGACTGAAGAAAATCTTCTACTATTCTCTGACTCATTTGTGGTTCAATTTCCCAATTTGGGGCCCTCTTGTTTCTGTGTCCCCCCCCGGGAACATCCTGCCTTGTCCCCCTTGTCTATTCCACGCAGTATTTTTAGTCGTTTCATGTCCCCCCTGCCCCCCTTCCCCCCAGTGTCGTAGGCCGATTTCCCTTAATTTTTCTTCATAGGACATTCCCCTTAGCTCGGGAAAAAAAAAAAAAACCTTGTTGCAAACCTTTGTATTTTCTCTAGTTTCTTGACGTGTTTTATCAAGTGCGGGTTCCAAAACAGGTGCTGCATATCCAGTAGGGGCCTGCATACACGGTGTACATTCTTGAATGTTTTCCTTTATAAGGTACGGAATGCTGTTTCAGGTTTGCCAGGCGCCCATTGCGCAGCGTATCTGATTGAGTGTGCTTCGGAACATGCTCGGTGTTAACTCACCCCAAGACTTTTCTTGGGGTTTGCAGTCTTTGGCCCCCCTAGCCTTATTGTCTGTGGTTTTCTGTCCCCTTCCCCATCTTCTGCTTTGCATTTGGCAGGTTTAAAATTGAGAACCCTTTTGCGGGAAACCAGGGTCCAGTCTGCCCAGGTTCTTTGAAGTCCGCCGGGCCCTCATCAGATTTAATTCTCCTCATTAACTTCACATCATCTGCAAAGGGGGACACTTCTGGTTAAACCCCTTCCGTCTTTGTCGTTTAAACAATACCAAAAATAGCACGGGCCCTAGGACCGCCCCCTGTGGGACCCCGCTGCAAGGTCCACGTGAACATCATTACGTCCCATGATCGTTTGTTGCCTCCCGTGGGTTTTTCTCTGACCTTTGCAGTCCCCTTCCCTTTTTAAAAATGCGCCTGAGCTCTGTGTGTGTGTGTGTGTGTGTGTGTGTGTGTTTTGTGTGTGTGTGTGGGGTGTGTTGTTTGTTAGTTAGTTAGTTACCTTTTTGTCCTAGGCACATGTGTTTAGACATAGGCCGGGGGTTGTGTGTTTTGTGTGTGTGTGTGGTGTGTGTTGGGGTTTTGGGGTTGTGTGTGTGTGTGTGTGTGTGTGTGCGTGTGTGTGTGTGTTTGGTGTGTTGTGTGTGTGTGACTCACCTAGTTGTACTCACAGTTGGGGTTTTGCGGGGGTCGAGTCCGAGCTCCGGGGCCCCGTCTTTCCTGATCGTACTAGGTCACTCTCCCTGAGCGTGAGCTTTATCAACCTTGCTTAAAGCTATGTTGGATCCTGCCTCCCCTACATCGCTTCCCCCAAATATTCCCTTTCTGCTACTCTGTGGGAAGAAATACTTCCAAAATCCCCGTGTTCATCTGGGGTTTTTACTCCCTGGGTCCCCTTGGGCTTGTTCCCTTAACTCCGTTTTTTACCTTTCAATTTCCCCTATTTGAGTCGGGAATTTTCCCCCATTTTTTTAGGGGGCAGGTTTTTTTTAACCCTT